GGATGGTAGGATGGATTGTAAGTCTGTTGCTGTTATTTTATTATGAAGTAAAAGATTATAAAAGCAAGGCTTAAAAATTTGCACTGGAAGATGATTTAAAAGTACTATGACTTTATAGTGAAAGTGCTTGTGGGTCAAGTTTTGAACACTTAAACAGTAGTTGTAAAGGCAAAAATTTAGTTAGATGGATAATGTACTGTATATTATTTATCTCCCTGGGTTTTATTTGCTAATTTTAGATTACTTTGTTAGAGTTTGCTTCTAGTTATAGAGTTCTTTGTTGGCAATAGTCTTTTGTTTGCTGATGGTGAAATTGTTAGGAGTTACCTGTTCTCTGTCGCATTGAGGTAACAGATCAACTACTTATTTTCAGTTAGGGTTCTGGAGCCCGAGATTTGTTACTCCGAATGTTAATGAATAATGTATATTCAAATTATACCCATTAAGTCTGTACTGTTAGGTTTTCATTGAGCTAAAAAATAGTTAGGCACCTGAAATAAAAATCTCAGCAAAAGATTGGTAAAATTTGGATAGATTCTGTGCTGGTAATTAAACATCTTGCATGCCAGAACAAGATGTAAAAACTGGCAAAACTCAGTGGTGTGTCTTTCTGAGGGATAAATCAAAATAAAAAAGGACTCAAGTGAAAAGCTGGAAGTTTCATAAGACGTATTTCAACTTTGAAGGCTTTTCAGCATGAATTTCCAATTTCTGATATTGGAGAAAACTGTTTTCATTATTATTGTTATCAAAGTAAATCTTGGAGTTGGTTTATATGTGGTTTTGATGTTGTTTTAATGTTGGTTGAAGTTGTTCCCTAAGATCTCTTCAAAAGAAAGTGTCTTAGCTATACTCATGTGATGTTATCTTAGAAAGCACAGTGGATTTTTTTTTTTTTGTAAGGTGCGCAACATTTCCCAAAGTTATTGGACTCGAAAGCACAGTTGAAATAAATATTTTTAATTTTAATTTGGCTGTCACCAATAAGTTGTTTCTAATAAGTAATAACCAAAAACTGATGACATTTTACAGTTTTTGGATGGAGGCATTGATTGTTGTAGAATATTGCATTGTTTAAAGCAAAAGAGGCAGTGAAGCTGCCAGACCATGGTAGCCTGCTGTGCGTATTTTTTTCAGCAGTTTTGGAGAAAGCAGTTCTGGTAAGAATGCACAGAAACAAGCAAACTCAGTGGCTGATTTGAATCCTTATAATACATTTCTTAATTTCTTGTTTTTAAGCTAAAGCCTAAGTTTATTTCAGAATAAGCAAGCCAGGCATTATCATCTGGTAAAAATACTATTATTGAGAAAGCATATACATAAAATGGCCACACTTAAACATTGGGAAGGCTCAAAAGGACTGGATTTAATGATGGTTTGGCGGGGGGGGGGAGGGGAAGAAAAAGATGTATAGTTGCTGATGAAGTTGATAGTTGCCCAAGAATAACATAGCAAGTCATTTGAATAGGAAGTTTACAGTGCAATCTTTATAGCTTAGATGGAGTTAATTGAAAAATATGTATTTTAATGCAGTCTTAAATATCATAAGTCTTTATAAATGCGTGCTTCTCTTATCAGCTATATGTACAGTTTACGTGGGTGTCTCTTTAGGATGTTTCATTATCCCTGCAGAGAAAGTAGGCAGTTGTCATCCAGTAAGAAACAAAAGCACTCAACTCTGAACATGGCAATAGGTACTTTATTCTGTTGGGATTCTGAGCTCAGTGCTCTGCCTGAGAGTAGTTGTCTAGAAGAGAAGGAAGTGGCAGCGGAGGATGGGGGAGGCATTTTCTCACTGTGTTGTTATAGTCAAGAGCCCTCTCAGTTGCAGAAAACATTAAAAGTAAAGTCTGCTTATATGCTAGTGGCTTGTTCTTCCATCAGTGAGATGGAGGAGAGTTATCACACTTAGTTTGTTTGGCTGTAGGTGTTCTTGCTTCCATGCTTACTCTTTGTAGCGAAAGTGACTAGTCTTTTGATGCTTAGGAAAAAGATGATTGTTGTTTGCTTCCTTTTCTATTTTCCTCCACTACTATCTGGTCCTTACATGGTGAAACTGAATCTTCTTGACCTCCATTAAATTGACAAGATTTGTGGAGGAGTCTACAGATCTTCTTGAGCTTTCCAAAGATGGAGATTTCGCAGCACCTTTAGGCAACCAGTCCTTAATCACGCTTGTTATGGAAAAGTGTCTGTCTTATTCTTTCTTCAGGGAGAGCTGCAAAAGGTTCTTCCAGGTGAGCTGGGTGTTGCTCTCTGACAATTTTATATTTCTTCACTGGTGAAACTTTGGACAAAAGAACATTTAAGCAGTTGTGTATGGGGTCTCTGAGTCCTAGTCGGAGCTGGTGCTGGAGTTAAGTCGTCTTTTATGATGTAGGTGTTTGAGGCTGGTAACATAAGGGTGCTGCCGCGTCCCCTATGGTTAAATTTTTATTGGACAGGTGGTGATTTTTCAGCAAAGTCAGATTATCTGGGGTCTAAAGATACCAGATGGAAACCAATGGAAAAGGTCCCTTGTCCTCAGTTCCCTGGGCACTTATTGACCGCTTGTTCAAAAAGTGTGTTAGTGCTGTGGTACCTCATTTGTTTCATTATATAGATACTGTTCTTGTTATCATGAAAGATAAAGGAGTGCTATTGCCCACAACTATCCTGGATATTTTGGATATTTTGCGCTGTATATTTTGGAAATCAGAATGTATTAAGTTTGTAGGTTTCTGGCTATATTGTTTAATTCTTTTTTTGATAGTGATGGAGTAGTATTCAGCTAAAGTTAATTCTGAAACTGGTTTCTTGTAGTGAAAATTCTTTACTTACCTAAATTGCAGTTGGCTTAATAAGTGGGTTTTTTTTTTTAATGTCTCTGGTATGTTTTTTATATTTACATAATAATTTTTCATTATAAGTGTAACGGAGTACAGGCTTAATTAAGTCTGAAGTAAAAGCTTTTGCCATCTGTTTATGAGTAACTAACTGAAGAAGGTTTTTTTTTTAAATTTCAGTGTCACTTTTCTACTGGTTTAATGGTTTTATTAGGTGAATGGTGTTTCTATTTGAGTCAATTTTTTGAGAGGAGATTTAAAGATAAATATTCACCATTAACACCATGTTAACATTTATTTATCTGTCTTCAGTAAGATGACTCTGGCTTAGGGCAGTTTGCAAGTCTTCGAAAAGTCCTTATAAACACTTACTCCCTGAAGATATTTCAAGTAGCGGAGAGAACAAAAGAAGACTGCGATTTTAATGTTTTTTTCAGTCTGTCTGTTAATGATAATTTTTAAATGGTCTGTTGGAACCTTTTTTAAAAGCAGCTCAAGTTGGCAGTTTATACTTTCTTTTCCCTATTCTTTTATTAGTCTCATGCTTTTTCTGTGTGGAATAATTCTACAAACTATTTGTGAATAAAATGATGAAGCAGCACAGATACTGTATTTAGTTGCAGATGAAATACTAGAATGATGCATGTTATGTTGACTATAAGAGCTGTGTGTGCGCTTTTCAGTTTCTGTAAAATTACAGCTACCAATTTAGCAAATGGGGAGGGGGGACACCAATCGGTTGGAAGCAACTAGAAAAGATTTGTGCTTTAAGAAAAGAATAAAAAGCACATACGCGATTCCAAATATTAAATATCATTCCAGAGTCTCAACAAGACTACTGTAAGTAAGTACAATTTTATGTTTAGCTCAGTTTAAGAGTCAAAGTACAGTTGGGTGAAGAAATTAAGAACCTTTAGATTCAGCAGAGGAGTTAAAAAGAGAAAATCTAAGATGAAAACAGAACTCAGAAAGGTCTGCATTGAGGCAGTATGGTGAGGTTTGTTTTGGTTTTTTTTTTTGTTATAGGATGCATTTGCACAATGATAATTTACTTTGTTTACCTAATCTAATAATCCGCTAGATTATCTAATTATGTAAGTCTGTCATTTTATGTCCTTAATATTTGCATACCAGAAAGCCTGGGTAGGAGGAAAGCACAATTGTTTTTAAGGTGTACTGAAGGTCTTATGACAAAAGACTTTAGTTTTCCTCTTGGGGAAGTACAGAATTCATGCTAAATGATTAGCCACATGAAGTTCACTTTCAGATGAGGTAGCTCTGTACTACGTGATACTAGTCATGTAATTCTGTTATTAGTGTCAGTATATTAGTATGCTGGGTTAGCTATATAGCAGCTTCTGCTAAATTTACAGTTATGGCAAACTGTCCTCCACTGAAACAAACTGACAACTCTCAGGATCTTAGTATTGAAAAAAGGCATAAAATTAGTAGGTTTCTTTCTGAATTGGTGTTTCCCCCCGCCCCCATCCAACCAAATGTTTACTTCTTGAAATGTTGTTAAAGCACCGTACAGTAAGTAACTAAGCATTTATTGATGACCCCAAGTTAATGAGTTAGAACAGGACTCGATATAGGAGTTGATATTCCTATGAAAAAATGAGTTGGCCACACCTTTAAAGAAGGAAAAGAAGAGATTTCATAGAGGGGGTGTGTGTGTTGGGATTTCTTTCTATAGAAAGAATACAGGAGTCTAGTCAAATTAGAATGACTTTGTTTAAATAAAAAGTGTACACAGAAGTCTCATATGATGGTAATGCTTACATGGATACTAGTTTGTTCAGAGGATATTTCTCATTTGCAGGAATTTGCATAGCTTTTATGCGATGACTATGTTAATCCAAGAAACTTAAGGAAATAACCGTTTTTCTGTTTGTGTCACTGTTTGTATAAATCATTAGTATTTGGATTTCATGGAGTATTATTTGTATAAATTCTCCACTGAATAAACTTTAAAATCTATTACAGCTCATCTAAACTTTGGATAATATAAAATGAAATGTAAACATGACTTAAGTAACTTATGTCTGTAATATTCTAAACAGTTAAAATAGTCCATGGAAAAAAGTGTTGTAAAAGGTCTTTGTACTATAATTGAAATGTCCTTTAAGCTTCTAAGAAAACATTAAAATTAAATACAATTATAACTTTTTGTAGGTTGGGCTCATGTGGTTTGTGCTCTGTACATTCCCGAGGTGCAATTTGCAAATGTTTCTACGATGGAACCTATCGTGTTGCAGTCTGTTCCTCATGATCGTTATAATAAGGTATAATTATATGTCTTTTTATCTAAATCTAATGTATTTATTTTAAAACTTGTGAGCTTTAATAATCTAAAACTACACTTCTTAGAATGCGCTTTATATAAAATTCATAAATGTTTGCAGTAACGGTGTATGTTTTCTGCTATGGCATTATGATAAATTCAAGAATTAAGAAAGCTCTATGATTAAATTAAACTGTAAGGTTATCTGCCATGTCTCATTATTCTTTTACAGATTAGGGACTGTTTTGTTAATTAAAAATATCGTGATCTTTGAATAACAGTTTATTTTGAAAGGAATGTGAAATATTTCCCATAGGTTGAAATATTATTACAGCTTATTTGAAATGTTATTATTAATTACCACTAAGTCCTACTGTTTTAAGTATTGATATGATGTTCATAAACATTTCTTCTAGGAAGAAAAGCTATGCTAATATATTGAAGCAAAAGCTGGCAGACTTTTGCCTTTGTAAACAGTATTCGCTTTAGTGGGATTATTTGCTTGTAGAAGAACTGCTCCTAAATAAGTATCAGAGTGAGATGGAATGTTTTATGAAGTGTGGTGAGACTTTATTTAATTTTTAAAAAAAAAAAAAAAAAAGGCAAAGCCATGTAAAAGTAACTTATTAATGTTTTATATTGATAGTTACGTTTTTCTACTTTTCTCTTATACTACCTCTTCGCCACTAGATTTAACTACTTCCTCCTTTGTATTTTTATCTTTTCCCTTCTATAAACAGCCAACTGTCTGAATTTCTGATCAGTTTTGTTACATATTTTGCTTGTGTTCTTTTTACCTCTAGTTTCTTTCTCTTATTTTATGGTCGTTTGTGGACACTGGGGTAAAAGAGGAATAGACTGTGTTATAAAAGAAAGAAAGCAAAAAAAAAAAAAAAAGACATGTATCACCTCTGGTGTTCTTCCTACAGGGAAACCAGTCCTTTTCACGTTGTCTCTGTGACCTCCCATTATTATTTTTTTTTTTTTTTTTCTTCAGTTTACATCTCTGATTTATGCGCCCCCTCCTGTTTTCCTATTATTTTTTCTTTTTTTGTACTTCGGTCTTTTCCTTGTCTGTTTCGCATTCTCATAATTGCTGTCAGTATGTTTTGCCCATCTTATTTACCAGTGTATCCGAAAAGCCAGGAATCAAAATCTAGGTTCTTCTCATGCTTCCTCATTATGTGGTACCTGAGCATCTGTATTGGCTCCTTGCTATTGGCTTTCTTTTGCATTGCAAGGACATGCGACAGTGAGATTAAGTGCAGAACTAATAAAATTTTTGAGCTTGGACACAAAGCAGTACAGATTTGCTGTGGCAGATGAGTTTATTTCCTCTCTCTCCTCAACTCTGGGCCAACAGCACATATGTTTTCTCATTTTAACTTGAGTAGTAGTCATAATGGTTTTTTTTTAACTGGTAGTGGTTCTTCCCTAATGTACTTCAAAAATTTTGTGGAACACTTTGGATTTTGTTTTATTTTGCACCATTTCCACTGATGGTAATTGATATTGGATGAGTAAAGCCTTGTAACTTCAAAAAATGTACCTTGTGTCTTATAATATTACTTGTTCACAAAGTCCGCTGTTGGTCTATGTCTTTAGTCTTTTAATTCAAGTTGCTTCTTTCTTGAACTGTTTTTCGTCCAAATATACAATGTATAGTTGTCTCTTACTGCTAAAATTCTGTATTTGCATTTTGTTGGTCTGTAGTTACCATGATTTTTTTTTTGCTTGCTAGATAATTACTAGTGCCATACAGCTTATGTAGATAAAGTTCCTGATGGTGTCAAGCTTTTTGTTTTCTGCATTTTTTGGTGGGTGTTCTGATTTGGGCCTATTTTCCATGGTAACAGTCAGCCTAAAACTACTTTTATACAGACCTCTACAGTATATTGTAAAATATAATGAGACCTATATTACAAATTTCAAAGTTTGGAGTCACACCCCTAGCCTGCAAATTACTATATTTTTTTTTCCCTCTTGTTTTACAGAACCTGGTTCTTGCTGTCTTTATTTGGTCTATTTGGTTCAGTGAGATAGTGGTTGTGGATTTCAAGGAAATCAAAGAAATGCCTATAGTGCAGTTGCTGCAGCAAACCTCGTGAAACCAATCTAACTTCACCAACAGCAGTCTAGTTGTAACAGCACAGAATTTAAGAGGCAGTCGCTGACTGGGGACTCTGCCAACTTTTTTGATAGATCCATCGCCAGTGCTGAGTTTGGTACTGCTGTGGCTAAACTGCCACCAGTTCCCAAGTAGGCTGGTTTTGAGCAATACCACCAAAATCAATACAACTACTATTTCCCTTTTCAGCCTGCAATAACTTCACCTCCCCACCCCCTTGCTATTCAGTATAAACTGTGTTTATTTAAATGATACATTTTTTAGATCAGAAGCTTTGTAAAGCATTTAACTCTGACTTTATCAATTTGAGAGAAAATGGGAAAGAAAAGCAGTTTTTTTGAGAAGTAGATATGGCAAACAGTTCTTAAAACATTTGTGGCGCATTGTGAACAAATGTAAATGTGTAATTAGGAAAAAAAGACTAGAGTTGTTTCTCCTTTTACAGAGGCTTAGTGCTAATTTCATTCTGTCTGTAAACTCAGGTTGGAATAGATGATTTTAAGAAAGATTTCCTGTGAAGTGCTAAATAATTCTGCATAGGCGGCTGAATACACATAGAAGGCTAGCATATGGAATTGAGGGAAAATACAGGTCAATGGAAATTACCATAAGGGAAAATTTATACTGTAGTCTTTAAAATAGAAACAAACGTCATTGGAGTTTTGCCAGGAGATACTACTTAATTTACACAGTTTTTTCGATGCACTTGTTTCTTTATTGAACACTGAAAAATATGCAATATTACAAAGTGCATTAATCTTAAATGCAAGAAGAAAAACAGTAGACAGCAACATGAGGCTTATCAATCTAAAGGTGTTTGGCTGCTATTTCCCTGAAGTTTACCTGCTTCTGGGATAAGAACCGTCACATTACAGAATGAATCCGCTGAATGACTTGATTAGTGGGTTAACTAACAGGAAAGCTCTTCTTATACAGTTGGTTCCAAAAAGAAATGGACTAGTAGTTGCTCTCCTATTTAGTAGGTGTTTGTTATTCCTTGGATGGTTATGCATGGATAATCTCTATTTATTTTATGTGAGCTTTATTTCTCTCTTTCAGGTTCATTTGAAAGTATGTGGTAATTGAATATAATTACTGCTTTTAGGAATCTCTTTTAAGAGCTGATTAAAAAATAAGTGCATTTGGAGTTTCTTGATCTGCCTAGTAGTAAAGGCAGCTGTTAGACTTTTATTTCAGTACTTGCTGCAACAATGAGAAATTTCTGTACATACTCCTAGGTTTGATTCTGTAAGCAGGGAATGCTCTTGGGTAGCTGTTACAAGTAGAGTAAACTATTTCTCAAATTACTTTTTTGTTTTATAAGTTTTTTCTTGCCTCATCTTCCCTTCTGTCTTTGGTTTTGCAGGGAAGGTTTACGTTTTGAAATTTGAAGAAAAAATACTGGCAGAAACATAAAGGCAGCTTTGCAAAACATATATTTTGCCATTAAAGAAACTAAGATATTTGTTGTATTTTTTGAGCAAAATTTCCTTGCTGAATCAAAAGCTTTGTGTAATGTTTTGCTTATTTTCCAATGAGTTTGGGAGAAGTCTAAGTACTCTCTTCCCTTAAGAGCTCTGAAGAGCAGCGCTGCTGTAGGTGGTGGGACACAGAGTTTTACACTTCCCCATTCCAGAGGTTTCAGAGGAGGTGTAGCAATTGCATGGATTTGCAAATGCATGAAAGTCTTTGGTTTTCTGCTTTGTGAAAGATAAAGGTTCTCAGGCTTCTGGAATTGTTTGTGTGTCTAAGAGAAGGTAGAAGTATGAGAAGCTCAGCTTTAGAGAGAACCATGTTGGAACGGGAAGATGAACCTTCTTTGTCCCCATTTCATATGGAAGATTAGGAAACATGTTTTGTACTTCCCATGACTATTGTAGGAAGGATAGAAGTTCATTGAGCTTGTTAAAATGGGTAGGCAGTCCACCATGTTGTGTTTAAACTTTTTTGTAATGTAGCTGGTCATTTATTATAATTTTTCAGTAATTTTACTGTCAATTTGTTTAAGGGGTCCTGAAACAGATCCTAAATATAGTATGTAGTGTTGAAAAAGCAGGGCGTACATCCTTACTAAATGGAATGCTTATATCACTTTTCTTTCTGAGCTTCAGTGAGGAAAAAAATTACAGATCTTAAGGCAAAACTCTGCAAAAAACAGAACAGTAACTGGAGCTTGTGTTTTATGGAGTCTGTTGAACTCTCTGTTTATAGAGGTACCTTACTTTTGAAGTTACTTACACTTTAATATAGTTACTCAGATGAGGTTGATAGATCATGACCTTGTTTGTTCCTAAAATCTGAATGTGTCAGGTCGTGGTATGGAAAGCTATAAAGCAGCCAGTCTCAGACCCTGTCAAACAACTGAATTATTTATATGCACTATCTTGATGTACAAAGGGAGCAAGGCAAAGAATTAAGTAGGATTATTCCCTTTTTGATCCTTCAAATGTTAGGATATAGGGTATGATTTTAGGATATATTGTCTATTGAGTTTAATGCTTTTTAAAAGTCTTGTGGAAACCATACAAGAATGACTTGCCTAGCCTAGAGTCTTGCGTGTTAACAAAAATGCTTTAGTTAGCTGATGTCTCATGTTAAATGTTGTTCTAAATACCTCTGTTAAACGCTGTTCTGATCTCAGAATTTCACTCATTTTCATGTCTTTCCAAGTAATAACTGGTTTTGCGTTATATCCTTTTTATTTATATCAGTGGTATCTTGGTCCATTTTTCTTAAACTGTATTTTCTACTACCCGTGTTTGATGTTCTTTTTATTTATTATTCTATTCATTCTCTGCTTCACTGAAGGGAGGTTGTGATACAACTGCAATAAGTCGGTTACAGTTTCAATGTAGACAATTTGTGGGGGGGAAGTTTCTCTCTTCTCATCTAAGATCTTGTAATGGGATTTCTACAGAGGTAGCAGTGTGTTGTTGATGTTTGTTAGCTCAGTAAGGTTCTTGCTCATTTAAAAACAGACACTTGACTGCCCCAATGCTGGAGGATACTTTCATTAAAAACCTATTCTTAAATTGTTAAATTTTACACATAAATGTGATATGATAGAATCTCTCTAAGCGGCATTTCAGTAATTAGGACAGTAAAAAATGGAGAGAGACTTAGTTTTGCCTGATGTTTCTCCCTGAAATGCTGGTGAGAGATTGTAGTGATGTCTAGTATAATAGTGAGCTTCCATATAGCATGTATCCATGTTTATTGGCCACATATTTAAAAAAAACAGTATTGAATAGTGAGAAAGATTTTGGATTCTTTTTGTCTTAATTCTTTTTCTTCCATTTTACTGAGAATGTTTTTGAAAATATTACAAATTGCCCTAGTATCCCAGTAAAACAAATAAATTGACAGAAATGCTATGAAAAGATTTTCAGGTACTAGACAGTTTGTTTTCATTTTAGCTTGTTTTTGAGCTTGAAATGGGTTTGATATACTAATTTAAGCTTTGTTTACAGAAGGTTCTTGCTTGATTAGTTTCTAAGATGTTTATGGGGCTGTCCAAGTCATGCTGAAATTAAAGCAAAGTTCTGTTAAACACCATATTTAATTAAAGGTAACTGAGCATCATATGAATATTGAAGCATGCTATGAGACTTCTGAAAATTCTTTATACCAAATATACAAATAAAATTTTAAGTTTGCAGTTTTTCTGTATGTAATTTTGTAGACATATGCATGTGTACCATATGGTATCTTGTACCATTAGGCACTCAGTCTAATTTGATGTTTCTGAATGCCACCAGTACAGGTAATGTTAAATGAATGTGAAAATGATTGCGACCTAAAAGGACATAAACACAAACATGAAAGCAAGGAGAATTATGAAGCTAGTGCTATTAACCTTTGGCTGTTTGAGTGGCTAGTTGAATAGCAATATGTAATTTAAGTAAATTAGCTTTAGCGTTGGTGAAGTGTTACACAGATCCCAAGTGTCTACCAGGTGATCTCCTTTTGCAAACAAACATAATTTAGACTTTTACAAAGAAGTTCTTATATAAGCTTAGCTGCAGAATCCAGTAGTTCTCACACTAGAATCTCCTGTGAGTAGCACAGCATTTATTTGTATGCTTCTTGTTATGTTAAGTATTTTCTCTTTGATAGACATGCTATATTTGTGATGAGCAAGGCAGAGAAAGTAAAGCAGCCACTGGTGCTTGTATGACATGTAATAAACATGGATGTCGACAAGCTTTTCACGTAACGTGGTAAGTATATTTTATTATTTAACATCTCTGATGTTCCAGAAAGAATCAATGCACACGATGTAATGAATAAACTCTTCATTTAGTATATTTCTGAGTAAAGAAATATAGTAAAGTGGTTTGTGTAGAAATATCCAACTTTATTATAATAGTTTACTAACAATATGGCAGTGGCAGCATAGACATTGCTGTGAGCTGCAAAAGCTGTCTGATAATACTCCCTTGGGTTGTATTAAATGCTGTGTGCTCCTATGAATAAGGTTTAGTGGGTTTTTTTGTCTTACGTTATTTTTCTTAGATGATATTTTATAGGATATGGGAATGTGAAGACATTGTTTTTTTACCCGTGAACTGATTTGATGTTTACTTTCGGTAAATCAGTGGGAAAAATTACTGAGCTGTGCATAAAAATGCACTAGACTCGCCCCTTCCGGTACAGATTTCCAAACATTTGGGGGTAACTCACCTTACTGGTTTTATCTAAATGGTATACATCTATCCTGAGCTATTCATTTAGGTTTCACATACAGCTGTTGCAGAAAAACAGCTGTGTCTACCATCTGATTCATTCCACTTCAAGACATTTAGGTTTGCTTCCATTTAGGAGATGCTTGTCTCACTTTATGGACTTCTAAAAGAGGCTGGATAATTAGATTAAACCACATGTTGACAGGTAAAAAGAGGCAAAAGGAGTTCCGCCCCAAAATTTACAGGCATTATTTGTTTTTTCAGATTCAGCTGAAGCTATTTTGCAATAGATAGATAGCAGATTACACAGACTGTCTAGCTACATAATCTGTGGATTTACCTGTCTGTTTTATGAGTATGCTTCTTCATGACCAGCTCAGTCAGGGAAATGGTATTTGCACACCTACTTAAATTACTTAAATGTATTTTCTTCAGTGTAATCAAGTGATACTTTGAATGTCCTGTGCAGATCTTAAAGGATATAATTGTGTAGTTTAGGCACTGATTTCTTGGCAACTCTTCTTTTTTTTCTTTTAATTACTTGACTGACTGGTTGGTTTTACTCTTTCATAAGCATCTAATTTTTCATTGGATGTGATCAATGTCAAGTTTCTTTTTATGGTGAAAATGGATTGTGTTCCTCAAAGCGTGCATACCATGTAAAGAGGTTACTTGGATGTATACATTTTTTCACATCTGCAAGTGTTTGGATGAAAAGGTCTCTTTTCTTTCAAACTCTTGGATGCATACAAGAGTCCTTTTAATCTTTTTTTTTTTTTTTTTCTTCCAAAAGCCTGTTTTCAGTGAATGCCATAAAGAACATGAGAATTAGTTTCAAAATTAAAATATTTATCTTGCCAATTTTTAGGATTTTTTGATTCTAAAAAAACCAGGTATGTACTATAAAATGATACCTAGCCAGAGAGTACTGTGACTGAGGATATGGAAAGGCTTCTCTAATATTTAAAAAATGGAAGAAAGATGTGAAAGCTACAGAAGGCAGAGATCCAGGGCGAGGTGTATCAGTTTTGGGTTAACAAAACTAATGTCTAAGGAAGAATGAGCTTGAGTCCATCTGTTCTTCTATGGCAAGCTTAGAACAATAAATCTTCGCTTAAAGAGATCCTGTTAAATGTATTCTTTAGTTGGCATCTGCTGTAGGTGTGCATGTATTTAGGAAGCAGTATTTCTGGATTGCCCAAGAACATAATGTATAAATGAGGGGAAAGTGATTTTAAAAAGCAATGAAAATAAGCTGCCTTATATATTGTTTTTCCATTTAAATACTCCCGTGCATCATTTTGACTGTAAAATTGCATTATTATGCTAATGAAAACGATATGGAAAAGTAAACAATATTTGGTTTTTCAGTGTCTAAGTTGGTTTTGATAAAGAAAATAAATCAACAATATACAAATGGTGAAAAGCAAATTTGATTTGAAAAAATGTGGTAGAATAAGGTCATAATTATCCCAGGCAAGGAAACTTGTAAGTCTCGTTCTTTTTAAAAGAAATTAACCTGCCACAGTCTTTTAAACCAATAAATATGGTTTGATTTATTATGTCATTGAAGCTTTATTTAAAAAATAAAAAAAAAAGGTAATTTTCCTGGCAAAGTAGAGAAGGATGTATGCAACTTTAGAAAAATTTCTTCTTTGGATCTACAGTATTGTTTTGTTAAAAACTGTTCTTTCTGTAGATAATTTTTGGCTTGAATTTGAGCTAAGAATCATTGTAAGTTGCTTGGTTTATTTATTTGTGGCAGTAGCTGCATAATAAATGTAGATTTTCAAGCTATAAGCTTGTGTGAGTGGCTTAAAGACTATGAAAAAGGGATCAGGCCAAAATAGAAACCATACATGTTTTTCACAGGGATACAAAGGTGGGTTATATGCTTGCATGCCATTAGAAGCCACTTGTGTGGAAATCTGTTCTATTAAATGCAGATATAAGGATCCGTATGTTATCAGCTGTGATATTGTGGTACCAGTTGATGTAAAATTGCTTTTCTTGAATGTTGTTTGGTTTATTTTTAGTGCACAGTTTGCAGGACTTCTTTGTGAAGAAGAAGGCAATGGTGCAGATAACGTCCAATACTGTGGCTACTGTAAATACCATTTTAGTAAACTGGTATGTATTTGTTAAATTCTATAAATAAATGTCACTGAGTTATTTTTCCACTCTGAACTGCTATTCACACTAGAAATGATATTTTCATGTAGCTCAGAAAGTAGATTGTATTTCATTAAAACAATGTTTTAATCACAGTTACAGAAGTACTAACTGAAAATGTTTATATAAGTGGTTACTTTCTAGATCTGTGGGTTTTTCCCCTCTGCCAGAAATAGCATGCACATTTAGTGTTTTTCATTAAGTTCCTAAGTTCCTGTAATGTTTTCTTTTGCTATTTGATTAGTTGGCTTCTTGGAATTTAGTCCATTTTGGAATAATCTAGAAAATATTACTTGTTATCCTGTATATTAGAGAATAAAGAAGCCCTCCATTTCTTTCTGCTTCTGTTACTATTTTGTGTGTGGGTTTTTTTTTTTTTTTTTTTTTTTTTAAAATGTGTTTTCCCTTTTGTTCTATCTCTCACTGTGTAGCCAGTGGATATTCCCTGCCTATAAGTTCTCTGAAACACAACCTCAAGGAAGTGACTGGAGGTTTGATTTTTAAAAAACAAACAAGCAAACAAAAAACTTTGAAATTTCTCAGTTATCTCAGTAGGTTTTGGATCAGACCTCTGGAGTCTTTCCTATTGCTTTTTATCAGTTTGACAGTTCCAGATATCTGTTTCTGTGTACATGTGTGAGTGTGTGGACTTGAAGGACTTACTGATGTCTAAAAAATGTTATTTATGAATATTGAATTATGAAAATTAAAATATATAGATTTAAGTTCAGATACTGCTGTAAGTATAGCTAAACTTGCTGATTACTTGTTTTCACTGCTAAAAAAGGTGAATACTTGGGTGACTTTTGAATAGGTTGCAATGAGGTAAAAACACAGGGCCAATGAACCATTTTAGCTTTCTAGAAGATAAGCTTGGGGAGGTTAGTTCCGTGCTCTTGTGAATATTGATGAGTTTGCTTCGTAATGCATATAAGACAGGGCTTTCTAGGCCCTTACTAAGCTAAGATTTTTTTTTTTAATTATTATCTTGAGCTAACTATACAAAAAGAACAAAAATGGTCTGTTACTTAGCAGTGAAGGCAAGCTCTTACACTATTATGCATTTGATTTGAATGTTCCAGTGCTGCTATGATTGAGAACATGTATGTTTATTTAAAAAGCAAGTTTAATGATAAAGACATAACTCCATATTTGGCATGTAATTAGTTAGCTTTCCATTACAAAACTATAGTGGTAAGAACAGTAAAGACTGGCAGGATCATTTAAGTGTTTTTAGTGTTTCTTTAGGATTATTGTGACTGTTGATGCCTGGTAAATACAGGTGTTTAGTGTTTACTACTGAAGATGGTGGGTGGCATATATCTACTATACCACTGAAAACTTTGGTTGGCAAAGCACTGACGTGAAATGTCTTTGTAATGCTGCCTCAGCTATGATAATATAACAAATGTTTTGAACACTGGCCTAGTATAAAGTGTTTGCAGTCCTAGACTGGGCTCTCAAACATTACAGAAATACAGGCAATTGTATCTGCCGCTTGTAAATGCGTACATGACCATAGCATTCTGTATCCTATTTTTTGAACCATTTTAAAGAAAATATTGCGGACAGGTCACTTGTATAATAAATCATGAAGCCATAAAGCAGCCACCTCACAATGCGTTCAAGCATGTGGCAGTGCTAGCACTGTGGCTTCATGTGATACTCATTTGAGCATCTTTTATGTTTTATATTATGAAAACTTGAAAATTGTGTAGCATCTTTTAACCTTTAAAAAGTGGCATATCTCATTTCTCTGTGGAAAGCATATCTTGCAAATTTGTGGGAGGTGTAAAAGTAGATATAAGGCGAGGCTTTTTTCCTGGTATACATTGGGTAGTCTTGTTAATTTTATTAGTGTTAGTAATTTGTCACGTTTTTTCAGTAACTGAAGTTTTTTTTTTTCTTCAAGTAGTAAGCATCTTTATCAGTTGAAATGCTTTATACTTTTTATTTATTCAAATGGTTCCTTTTCTCTATCCATAAATATATTTTCTCTTTTTAGAAAAAGAGCAAACGGGGATCTAATAGGTCATATGATCAAAGTTTAAGTGATTCTTCCTCTCACTCTCAGGATAAACATCATGAGAAGGAGAAAAAAGTAAGTGGATTTGTCGTTGCTAATTATGTGGCACATCTGCTTAATAGTAGCAATTTCTGATAAATTTAATTTTTGCTGAAAAGCGTGAAGGCAATCTTGTTCCTGAAGCACTGAATAATAAATAACACAGGTGATAAACTACAGGTTCTAGGGTCCAATGAGGAAACATCTTCAGGTGCATTTGTACATGCACCTTCCTATTCCTGTTTATCATTAGTTTTGGGATACAGACTGAAACACATCCATTGGGAAGGCTGTTTCCACGCAGCTTCCTGTGCTTTAGTTTTCCATTAGAGATTTTTTTGTGTAGCCTTTGTGACTAGGTAGGAAAGAAAAATGGGCGGACATTTTAGCAAGTGTGCTGACAAACAGGTGCATCTAATTTTTTATGTTTCAATCTGTTATATCTTTTTCTCCTCATCAAAGAACTGACATCTCTTGTTGACACATTTTACTGGTACTGGTAGTCAAGCCCACTGTGATGGCAAAATACCTTGTCATTCACTGGGGAATCTTCTGTGAGGGTACAAAGAACATAACTGACTGCTAATTTCTATCATTGGTGTACTCTTTTAACAATTTAACTTTACATATTTTTAGAAAAGAATTTTAAATTAATAATGATTATTACTTTATGTTTTTATTACTGCTAGATTAATAGTTGTCTGTGGGAAATTTGTCATCTAAATTCAACACAGGGTGATAACACAGTGGCACAATAACGCCAATTTGCTTTGGCTCTTTTTTAGCCCTCTAAGAATATGTGCAAAGCTGCTCACCTGCACGCATCCTATACAACTAACGACTTTTCTGCGGGTGTGGGTAGACTTAGTTTTGCATTATTCAAAATCATTACATAAAAATTGAAATCAATGTATTGACCAAATGTGTATTTATGAAGGAGGTATATTTATAGTGACAGGAAATTGAATAACAAGTGTCAGTCTTCAGACCCTTAGTCTCCTTAATATTTGATTTGGTTTTTAAGCTCACTTCCACTTTGGATGGATGTTCATCTCCATTGTTCTCGGGTAGTATTCTAAAAAGTGTCTTTAGATCTGGTTAATGGTGTAGGTGAATAGTTCTATCTTCATCTGGTAATGCAGAAGAGTGTGTGCATTGCGATGTGATTGTACCTCTAAATTTATGACTAAAATAACACAAGTGTGGGTTTTTGGCAGATCTTCTTTTCTTAGTAACACATTGGTGGAAAAAAAAAATCTTGAATTACAGACTACAGAATTACCTGCAAGGTAAAACTTTACCAATATTTGCCGTATTTTTTTCTTAGTTTGCTTAGTTTTTCACTGCTATCGTATTTCGGGTCATGTCTTGTCAAAATACATGCATGGATTTTTACTCACGTTGACAAAATTTTGAAGTTGAATTTGAAGAAACTTTGAGGTGTGAGCGTGAGGCTCAATTTCAGTTTCGTATGTCTGAGCAGTGCAAAAAACCTGTTGTTGTTTTGTGGTTTGTGTGTTGGTTTTTTTTTTTTTTTAAAGTGAGTTTGACTGGAGATACTATGCTTCTTCAGGTTGTAATATCTGTAAAATCTTCAGGGAATACTCAGAGGGACTTTCTAACAGAGTGTGTTCAGCCAGTGTCTCAGCTATTTTTCTGCTAACTGCTCAGCTTGTCCTGCTCTGGAAGTGTTTTGATGTGGATCTTCTCGAAATAGTTAATGTTGTGGCTTGCCTTTGCAAGTCCTGGCCTTTTTCTGTGACTTGAAGTTTGCTGTAAATAGGATATTAAAGTTTCTTCTACCTTTCATGAACTGAAACATGGTAATCCAGAAGATCTCATGATCTGTAATACCAAGTGAAGTAATGCAGTTTGAAGCACTAACCTGTTATTTGACATTCACAGGTTCTCATGGCACATTATAGCATGTTCCCTTATCAAGTTATATTTGCTTTATATGTTGTATAATAACAAAACACTATTCTAGTCAAAACCTCCAAGTGGTGAAAAAAGTTGCAGTTTCCTAAAGCTGTTAATCACCTAACATTTTGTGGCTACAGTTTTTTTGTTTGGCATTTTTAATCTTACATGTTCTATAGTTAAAAAATGACCTGTGCTTTGCAAAATACTAATCTTCAGCCAATTAACCATATGTGGTATGGAGGCTTATTCTCTTGGTAAATTTCATTACCTTCTGCATGTGATGTCTTATTTGATATAGTATATCAAATATACAGTGTATCTTGAAAGAGTAGGGTCATTTTTTAGGGTGACATTCCTTATTTTCCCCTTCTGTAAATCTGTTTGGAATCTGGATTTTTGTCATATTATAGTAAATATGTATATTTTTCTTCCCAGATACAGTGGTGTTTCCCCCTCCCAGTAAGGGCACTCTAGTTTCTACTTTATCTTTCATCTTTGTTCTTTGGAAATTTGGATAATCTGATCTTTAGGCATCCTTAAAGCTTTCCCTTTTGCCAAGCAGAAACTGTATGGGTTGAGGATTGGAATAATTTTTATTGTCAGACCTCAAAAGCTGTCCATTTGGATATAAAATACTATTTTGCAATAAGAAGTTGTTGGTCTGAAAATGTTGATATAGGTAGCTGTAATTTTTGTAAATAGACACTGAGTTGAAAGCATGTGTTTTCCTTTGTAATATGCATTTAGTCTCTTCTGGGCACTGTGCTTACAAAATCAATAGCAAATATATAAGGGTGTAATAATTAAAAAAACAAATAAACAAACCTTTGGTATGATTTAATTTTAATGAGGAATTTGAACTACAGAATAAATAGCTTAATTATATTCTGATTACTGCTGCACTAAGTATTGTTAGTTTCTATGGTAGGGATGTTATTTAGAAATTACGAAAGATGAGGCTGTGTCCCTCTTAAGTAGGATTGGTGGTATGTTGCTTGACATCCTGTTATAATATCCCTTCTTTCAGGGCCCAGGTGTTCACCTCAAGCTTTTTGGCGAAAAACTTAGGCCACCATGAGGCTGTAGAAAAATACCTTGCTTTGCTAATGTTCTTGGCAGCATTATCTTTGGAAGGGACCAAAGAAGGAACCAAACATGTCTGGGATTGGCCTCTTGTGTAAAGGAAGTGTTTCTTGCCACTTATGTGAAAATTAGGCAAGCTTACTAGCATTATATGTTTGACTTCTAAAAAATGTGAATTTACTACATAGTAAGTAACTACTATGTAGCAGCTGAATTACACAAATTCCTTTTCTACTAGAAGTGCTTTGGTCTGGGCTGAGCAGGAAGGGGAAATTTAAAACTCTTTGCTGTGATGGCTCATATAATGCAAAATAAACAAAAATGGGCTTGTGACTGAAGACTGCAAATGTGTAAGAAGTGGTGACTGAAGAGGCAAAAAGAACAAAATAGTGACGAGGAGCCCCAGGGCACTATTGGAAGTTGGAGGATGGCAGTCTGAGGAGAACCTAAAATGCAGGAGTCAGGACAAGTGTTCTAAACACTGAGCTACTGGCTAAAGGTAATTCATTATGGGCATCTTCTTGCTGCTTGTCCTGTTCTTAAAGAAATGTTACACCTTCTCTGATTTTGAGGGGAGGAACTTGAACATTTAAGAAGCGTTTGAGGCAGTGTGTGACATTCGGCGTGTTCCATCGTAGCTGTGCGTTTGGTTGTTAGGCCCATGGGAAGGGAAAATTTAAAACATACCTCTACTCATTGAAAGTTTCCATAGGCTAGCTGTATGTTGGTTTGTGAACTGCATTCTGAACTGCCCAAACTTTCCCAATAGGTTGTGAAGGAGCCTACATTCATGTCAGAGCTATGAATTTCATTTGGGAGAAAGGCACTTCATGCTTTTTAATGTATTTTAATGCTCTGTGTGGGCTGTTACAAATCAAGTCCTAAACACTCAGATCAAGCGTTCATTATGTATTCCTCACTGTCTGAATAACTGACTGTGAAAAGATAAAATTGACCTGCTATGCATCACGTAAGATTCTGTGGCAAAAATAGGAACAGATTGCTGTTCTTTGGGTTATTATTCAGCTGCATAAGCAATGGTTTCCTTTTTCTCTCTTAAAAAAAAAAAAAAAAAAAATTGATTTAGTCCTGAAGAGTCAATTTATAGTACTGTATAAAGCAGAGTGTTGCAAAGGCAATTCTAATTATGTCATTCCTTTGTTAATTGGCTTGTTTCATAAAATTCATTATGTTATTTGAACATTGGGTTTTTGTGTAACTTTTTAGGGAAAAAAGCTCCAGACTCATCTCAGTAATGCAATATCCCACTGCATTTTTATTAACTTTTTGAAGTTTTTCTTAATCAGTTTAATAGATTTGACAGTTTAATACTTTCAACTGTTCTTGATGTACAAAACAAAATTGTAAGAGTGCTAAAGATAACTACAAGAAAAGTGTTTTGCAACCACTTCGAAATTACTTCAATTTTAATTTTTGAAGTAATATTATTCAAATGAAAATTGTGTGGTATGGATGCTAATGGTGATGCTTATCCATATTAACTTCTTCCAAATTCTGTTCAGTTGGAGGGAAAGAAGAATGCCTCTAGCTCAGTTTATAGATGGTCTTTAATATCTATCTATGAGCTGCATAACCTGATTCCTGTTTCCTAAGACTGAGTTTTTGTGTGGGTTCCGTGGTGTTCAAAAAGGGGTGACTTCATGCTGCAGTCTTTTACTGTTGGTGCCGATGAATAGTATTTCTGTTTCTGGGTACCTGTTCTTTACTGACTTTGTAGGAGTGTAATTTTTTCTTTTTTAACATCTCTTCATGTCGAATTGTGTTGAAAGTCTAGTTATTTGGGAGGACTGACAGAGTGTGACTGTGTAAACAAAATTTCATTAGAAAGCTACTCTATCTGAGTATGTTCAGTAATATATATCTTTAAAGCCTGCAGGATTAAGAGCAAAGGTGGCATCTTCTTGTTTGATTTGTTGCCTGCTAAAGTTCTGTGTTAACTTGCACTGTATTCTGTGTTGGCCTGATAGTCAGCTGCATGTAATCTACTGGAACAGGCACCAGTTGGTGTT